AAACCTTTTTTAAATCTGTAGATGTGAACAACTATATTTTTTTAAATAGTTGCCATTTCTCCTCTTGGTTAAGGAACATTTCAAAAGCACAATTAATGAGAATCCATAGAAACTGCACCGATACAAGCACTTTTGAAACTCAAGCCATTAGAGTTAAGAACCAATTTGTTGAAAAGGGATATGAGGATAATCTGTTGATAAATACTATAAAAGAAGTAGAAAATATGGAAAGATCCTCCCTTTTGAAATATAAATCTAAGGTGAAAAATGAGCACAGTATGTTGCCCTTCATCTCTAATTTTAATCAGGAAAGCCATAGAATAAAAAAGATAGTAAATAAACATTGGCCCATGCTAAGAAATGATCCTATGCTACACTCCATATTACCAGATAGACCAAGATTTGTATACAGGGGAGCATCAAATTTGAAACAAAAGTTAGTACATAATCATATAAAAGAAAAACCAATTACACCTTTCTTTCAAAATAAGGGCTTTTTTGGCTGCGGACAATGCTTAGCTTGTAGGAGCACAAAAAGCAAAAAGAGACACATTAGGGAGTTCCACGATTCAACGAAAGAAAAAGAACACAAAATAAAGGAAATGATCACTTGTTTCTCTAAAAGGGTGATATATGTTTTAAAATGCCCCTGTGATCTTCTATATGTGGGGAGAACGAAACGCCCATTGAATGTGAGAATAAATGAACACATACGGAACATTAAGAAGGGCTATGACAAACACGGTGTTTCAGATCATTTCAGATTAATACATGGTAAGGATCCACAGTTCTTAGATTTCTATGCTATTCAAAAAGTCACCTTAAATTGGCGAGGGGAGGACGAAATAAGAAAATTGGGTCAATTAGAAACAAAATGGAAAAACGTTACCTGCGCTCTGGCCTAGATCCCCATGTGCATTTGAACAAAAATGGAGGCTCTTTAGTTCTATTCTAAATGGCCATTTGAATATATAAGCTCACCAGCCACGTCAAGGCAAGCCTCAATAGGTGAGTTCCTACACTAGCCATTAGATATGCTGATATCAGCCAAGAGTCTCCAATAAGACAGGAAGGGGTATTTTATAAACCCTTTAACATTTAACCCTTTATAGGGCTTCTGCACATACAATAAACTTTGCTGATATCAGACAAAGTGAGACAGAAAGGGGTGTTTTATAAACCCTTTAACATTTAACCCTTTATAGGGCTTCTACACATTCAATAAACTTTGCTGGTATCAGACAAAGTATAGACGTCTCTAATGAGACATGAAAGGGTGTTTTATAAACCCCTACATACTTTACCCTGAATAGGGCTATAACATACAAATCACCTTGCTGGTATCAGCTAAAAGGCAAATTTCTCTGATGAGACAGGAAGGGGTGCTGCCCCTACATACTTATAAAGTCTTAATAAGACAAACGTGGGAAGGCTGGCAGCAATGTAACATAGCTGAGTGATACAAAATTCATATACAAACACAAAGATAAAGCACCGCGCTTACAGCAGCAGTGGCTTAGTATCCAGCTGCTTAAAATACATAGTAAAAACAAAGAAAAACGTTACCTGCGCTCTGGCCTAGATCCCCTTGTGCATTTGAACAAAAATGGAGGCTCTTTAGTTCTATTCTAAATGGCCATTTGAATATATAAGCTCACCAGCCACGTCAAGGCAAGCCTCAATAGGTGAGTTCCTACACTAGCCATTAGATATGCTGATAACAGCCAAGAGTCTCCTTTGCCTTTTAGCTGAAACCAGCAAGGTGATTTGTATGTTATAGCCCTATTCAGGGTAAAGTATGTAGGGGTTTATAAAACACCCTTTCATGTCTCATTAGAGACGTCTATACTTTGTCTGATACCAGCAAAGTTTATTGAATGTGTAGAAGCCCTATAAAGGGTTAAATGTTAAAGGGTTTATAAAACACCTCTTTCTGTCTCACTTTGTCTGATATCAGCAAAGTTTATTGTATGTGCAGAAGCCCTATAAAGGGTTAAATGTTAAAGGGTTTATAAAATACCCCTTCCTGTCTTATTGGAGACTCTTGGCTGATATCAGCGTATCTAATGGCTAGTGTAGGAACTCACCTATTGAGGCTTGCCTTGACATGGCTGGTGAGCTTATATATTCAAATGGCCATTTAGAATAGAACTAAAGAGCCTCCATTTTTGTTCAAATGCACATGGGGATCTAGGCCAGAGCGCAGGTAACGTTTTTCTTTGTTTTTACTATGTATTTTAAGCTGTTGGATACTAAGCCACTGCTGCTGTAAGCGCGGTGCTTTATCTTTGTGTTTGTATAGAAACAAAATGGATTTTTAATTTAAATACTCTAACCCCCAAGGCTTGAATGCAGATTTTGAATTATGCCATTTTTTATAGTTTATTTTTCATAGTTCATTTTTTAAGATGTTTAGTTTATCATTCAGAATTTATTTATTTTTAAACTGTATTTTTTAAATTGTTTTATAAATAATAAATAATATATTGTTATATATATGTTTTATAAATCTAAATATTACATAATTTTAATATATATTATTGCTGTTGGACCTATGAGACACACTAACTAGGGATCTATATACCTAAAAACGTTTTAAATGACCATAATAAGAATAAGTTATTAAGTATTTATAAAATTATATAAATATCTTTTTAAATATATATCTTTAACACTGGGATAACATAAAGTTTTTTTTGATACATTATAATATAACATTGATTATTGTACATAGACATTTTGCTGTATATATATTGCTATTCCTCATTGTTTTTCTTAACCCCTTAAGGACCGAGGACGGTTCAGGACCATCATCGGCATTTTTGCGTTGCCGACCGATGACGGTCCTGAACCGTCCTAACGGTCAGAGCTACTTATCTGATCGCCGTCGTTCCCCCGGCGGCGATCAGCGTGGCTCCGGTTGTGGGGAGACTGCCTGCAGCCCAGACAGTCTCCCCACACTGAATTAGGACCCCTGTGGCCATGTGATCGCTCAACACAGTGATCACATGGTCACAATAGGTGTCCATGTGTCTGCCTGCAGGGGGACTGTCTGTGCTGACAGGCAGTCTCCCTGCAACTGTAAAATCAAAAAAAAAATAAAGTTAATGTTAATTAAAAATAAAAAAATAATAATTATATATGTGTGTATATGATATATAGACATATAATATATCTATATAATATTTGTGGTCAGGGAAGAAGGCCGTATTTATGTGGACCTATACCTCTAATCATTAGTCTAATATACTAAGTCGGTTGTAGTGTGCCGAAACCGACGAACGGGTCAGCCTGTAAATAAAGAGGGCCAACCAATTAATTGATTCCTTTTGTGGAGTGGTGGGTGGGGCAACAGGAAGTGACCAAGCACTGTCAGCAAGGTATGGAGGTAAGTAGTGGGTTTATATAGGCCGGTTGCAACCCCTCCCACAACTCAAGGCTCCGCCTTCCCATTTGTGGTCAGGGAAGAAGGCCGTATTTATGTGGACCTATACCTCTAATCATTAGTCTAATATACTAAGTCGGTTGTAGTGTGCCGAAACCGACGAACGGGTCAGCCAGTAAATAAAGAGGGCAAAAGAGAAGTATCAGTTCCACACTTAATACGTATACACATACATTATTACCCGAGCTTCCCTACTTTGCCAATTGTTTAAAAGCTTGTCTCAACTCTTTCTCAGGTTGAGGTATGTAACGGTAATATGAACTGGTACGTTTTGGCTGGAGGTTGATGTTGCCGCTCCGATACGAAAGGAGTGGCCTGTATATGCCGTGGGATCGTACCCGATTCTTGTACATAATAATCTCATGTATTTGACGAATTTTGATGTAGTCAGGGGTTGACTGTGTATTGTGAGGAGAGGAGCTTGTTTGGGTTGATAAGCCATACCTGCCATGTATTTGTCGAATAGTTGTACGGGGCACCAATGATTGCCGGTTGGGTAAAATTGAATGTCAAGGTGCGGACCCATTTTATTCGTTTGAATGTCTTAATGTCAATGTGTAGTGATCACCTATTATGTTTATGTGTGACACACACAGTATATTTCCCTTATTGTTGATGTTGCTTAAGGTGAGTTCGTTGGGACGCATAAAATGCCAGGTATATGGCTGTTTTGAGTGTGTTATTGGTGTGATTATCAAAGGGTTTGGTATCTAACATGTCAGACAATGCCCTGAATTTCTCTGCGTCAATTGGTAGCAATCTAGTAGGTTTTAGGTTTTCTAGGCGTTGGATGCCTTTTAGCATATTTTAATGGGGTGTGCTGATAGGAAGTTTTTTATACTGGAATATGTGTTGCTTACATGATGCTGTATTCCAGTTAAATAGAGTTTTATGGTGTTGTGTGCCAGTTTCAAGTTGAGATGGCAAAAAGGTGAAAGCCACCATAGTATCTAACCTATAAGGATTCGTAATGATGTATTCTGAAACAAATTTGTTGAATAACATTAAGGCTCGGTTGTACATGCGTCTGGTGTTTGGGGAAAGTGAGGCCTGTGCTAGTGCCCTCCCGTGCTCCATGAGTAATTTTAGTCCAGGATGAGGTCTCTGAACAGCGGCGCCTTTCTTGGCTGTTCCTCTGCTGTTGGGTGTAGCTGTCTGAAAACCTGTAATTTTGAACAGGATAGTGTGTCAGCTGCTGAATTATGGTGACCTGGCACGTGTATGCAAGTCAAGAAAAAAAATAAATAAATGTTTTTGTGGCTGCCAACCATGTGAGTCTCCTGACCAGGTTCATGATGGTTAGTGAAGAAGACCTGCCTTTGTTCAGAATCTCGCAAGCCGCCATGTGGTCAGAGTAGCATTTGACAGCTTTGCCTCCCCATAAGTGGCCCCAGACTTTAGCTGCTGCCACTATGGGGTAGATCTCAAACAGTGCCGAAGTCTTTGTGAAAGTGGGTAATCCTAGTGCTTTGCTAGGCCAAGCGTCCCTCAACCACCTGTCTTCGAAGATGGCTCTGAAACCTGCGTAACCTGCAGCATCCGTCCATAACACAGGGGAGTTTAATGTCAACGGTGGTATGAACAAGTTTCTCCCATTCCAGTCCGACAGGAAATGGTACCACCTGGTCAGATGCGCCCTAGCCTGAATGTTCAGTGTAACCCTGCTGTTGTTGTTGGGTAAGTTGGGTAACAAACCGAGTAGACGTGAGATGAACGCTCGTCTCATGGCGAAGTTGTTGATGATATGCCATGTGCTTAGTTGTCTGAGTAACAATGGATTGATGACCCTGACCATGATTTACCCCATTCCACAGGAGCTGCTTTTAGTGGGGAAAGAATTGCCTATTTTTATGCCATGTAAGTGCCAGTGTGTAGGGTAGATGGTAGCCATTTACTGTGTTGATAATATTGGTCTTACTTAACCAAGCTTCAACCCATGCTTGAGTGATAGCTGTAAAGGTAGATCAATGGTGTGTATAGTAAGGAAACTCTTCGGAGGGTATGAGGGAGTTGAGACTTGGGGTAGCGAAGGTGTGTGGTGCCAATAAGTCTATGGTTAGTCTTTGTTTAAGGGAAGATTCCCTTGTGACAATACCAATGTGTTTGTGTTTGGCGCCATGCTGTAAATGGTGGAGATTGGAAAACCCAAGTAAAAACCCCTCTGTTATTCTTGGCTATGAGTGTGTCTACAGCCGATGGTTCTGTGTGCTGACTGTAAGTGAGGACATGCTATATTCCTTGAAGGTGTATGTATGATACCTGTATGGGAGCCCTTTGAAGCTCCGGAACTTTAGTAAATCTACTACAAGTCTGGAAGGGTGATGAGTTAGTAGTGTTGAAAATGGATTGGTGTGTACAGATGGTGAGTACGTTATTTGTAAGTTGTATTGGGACACATGGTTTGTCATGTGCCCTGAATAATTTGAACGTATATGCAACATTCTATATGCAATGCAACGACTCGTACCAATTGTCTCTGGTAGTTCAGAGGTGCTGGTACCTGGAGCCTGAGAGTGCTCGTCCATTTGTTTGGGAGAAAATCCCTTCTGTATGGGTACCTGCACAAATAAGCATCTCTACATATTCAAAATGCCAACACAACCAAGGGATGGTCTGTTCCCGATTTACCTGGAATCTCTGGGTCTGACCATCATAGATACAGCATCATACATATTTATGCCTTGTTTCCCCAATGTACCGGGATCATGTGTGCAGGGTTAACGTCTTGTACCAAGAATTGATTGTACCCGGTAACCGAATTTCATCTGTCTTAAATTTTTTGGCTCATGAGTTTGAGTGAGGCTAGCATGGCCTAGGTTTCACCTTAGTTGGTGTTGCTGGGCCTTCCCCTGTCTCCGTTTTATCCGTTAATGTATGGAGGAGTTTGAATAACGCTGCGTTCGTTGCTGTGGCAGGGTAGGGGATTTGTCGCCTCCTAAGGTTGGAGCCACATCTCCTCTGCTTGAAGGTGTATCAAGGGGAAGGGGAGTGACAGGTGACGCCCTCATTATGATACAATGCGAGACGGCTAGCTCACGAGTGGCCCGAGGGGTGTATGCCTCAGAGTGTGAGGCGGGGTGTTGGCCTCGTGGGACCACTAAATGAAGCGTAAAGCAGAGAAAACAGGGGGTAATACCTATTGGGCCATAAAACCCTACTTGCCATTACATTACTACTATTCCAGGGAAGGTAAGAGATGAAAGTGTATCACTTCTAGCCGGGGTGCTAGGAAGAGGAGATTCTTTACCATCTTTTTGGGAAATACTTAAATAACAATAAAGATTGCAATTATATATTTGTACCCAGGGGTCTTGTACCAGCTTGCTAGCTAAGCCGTAAGGCGAAACGATTAGGCTTGGTGTTTTTGGTGACTGGTGAGGCCCTGCTAGTTGCCAAGTGGCTTGAGAGGCTCTATCTATGCTTGGCGCGAGGGGATTTTGTGTGGCCACCGAGCGTTGTGGCAGGATGTTGGCCTCTCGGTGACAGTAACCAGAAAAATAGGAAGGGGAGTGACAGGTGAGGCCCTCTCTATGATACAATGCGAGGCGGCTAGTTCACGAGTGGCCCGAGGGATGTATGCCTCCATGTGTGAGGCGGGTTGTTGGCCTCGCGGGACCACTAACCGAAGCATAAAGCAGAGAAAAAAGGGGGTAATACCTATTGGGCCCTAGAACCCTAATTGCCAGTACACTATTACTATTCCAGGGAAGGTAAGAGATGGATAACTACGTGAGCAGGTGTACGCACCTGGTAGTATGGTATTGAACCTGACAATCCGTATAGGTTTTTTAGTAGTAACTGTAACCTGAATGGATAAAATCGTATGGCATAAGGAAAAATGGCATAGACCAAGCTTACCTTAAAACATGCAGTATATGTGAAAAGTAAAGTGCCGTGACATGTAAATATTAATCATCATAGCCATACTGGTTAAATATGTATCAATCTTAACCCATTAAGTGCCGTATGTACAAGTGAAAAGTGGTCTGTTCCCACCTTGGATGTTGTATGTCCCATTGCTAGGGGAAAGTCTGTTGTGTGAGCAGCGTGCTATGAAAAATGTATGTGAACTATATTACCCGTTACGTATATACAGATGCGTGTGCTACTTTGTAATAATATGTGTATTTATACTACTTGCTCTGTGAATTGTTGTATGCCTTATTGAATGGGAGGGGTCAGTGAACATGGTGTTGCAAAATGCAAGTGTACTGGAGAACTGCCGAGTGCCCTATAGGTGGTAGTGTAGTTGATGCTGATTGGTATGTGAAATGTTGTTTATCTGTTGACCTATAGGGGTCAGTGTTTTTGGTGTCTGTAAAACCCCATGAAAATTGTCAATGTACTTGACAGACCTGTAGATGGCAGTGTTGATAGAACCACTGTTAGTCTTGATGTGAAAGACAAATTGTTGAGCCAGTGCTGGAGTTTAATTTATGGGTAGGTTTAAAACAATCTTATGTGTAATTGATATTGGCTAGTAATTGTATATGACATGTGAAGACAGTTTTGATGTTGACCAGTAGGGTTCAGAAATGCTGATTGTATGGTAAAATACCCTTTAACCCCCTTCAGGATACATGAATCCCTTTTATTCCAGAGTTTGGTCCTTAAGGGGTTAATCCAAATGCAAGGTTAACGTGAGATTTTGAGAGTGACCTGTAGGAGTCAGTGTGGTTTATGTGAAACATTGTTAGTGAGCTATGCCCCAGCATTATAGTTGTATGACAGGGAAACAAACAGTGCCCGTTTGACAATATACAATATGTGAACATAATAGCTTAATAACAGTCATTGTAACAAACCAAAGTTCCGTTAGTGGGTTGTAAACGCACAAAACGTGTGTGTAGTACAGTAGTAAATGCATGAACTAGTTCCCGTTTGGTAGTAAATTGCACGAACCGTGAGCCTGGCATGTCAGAAACGAGCAGTGAGATTTGAAATGCACGCACAGAATTGCCTAGTATGTTTAGGTAATTGAAACAGAATGTGTTCCCGTTTGGGAGTATGCTAAAGCTCAAAATGAGCCAGTGACAGATATAAAAAAGTTAATTTAAACGAATGATATGCATGAACATGCAATGGTTTTAGGACAGATTTAGACAAAATGCAGCCGTAAAGTGAGGACCTGACCCGTGCAACTGATGCCTGGCGTAACGGGTAGGTCGACTTACGGTTTGTGAGCCACTTGGACACCATCCACAGCGATAGATTGAAGAAAAAGCTGGTAGGCCGGAAAAGCCTGTGGCTGGATTTCTGACACAGCTCAGCTTAGAAAACCTCATGGAGCAAGCAGGTAAAATGGCGTCTGGATGACCCGGAAGTGGAAATCATTCTGATGCTGACCTCAAGCAACAGGAAGTGACCAAGCACTGTCAGCAAAGTATGGAGGTAAGTAGTGGGTTTATATAGGCCGGTTGCAACCCCTCCCACAACTCCA